GCCCCTCTAGACCCTTCTAGACCTCCTAGATTATATAGGTCCCCTCAGACAATGGCTGGTGCTTCTTCTCACTTCTCCCTTGTGAGAAGGGGTCTTGCTGGCCCTTTTCCTGGCAATAAACCTTTCTTTCTTCTCTATACCTGGATGTCTGCATGGTTTTCTGGCAAAAGTCCAAATAATCTAACAATAGGAATGAGCCTCCAGTTCCTGGCTAGAATTATACTTTTTTTTGTCTCAGGTCCTGGGACTTGAACTCAGGGCCTAGGCTCTGCTCCTGAGCTTCTTTTGCTCAAGGCTAGCACTCTACCATTTGAGCCACACTGCCTTTTCTGACTTTTCTGAGTAGCTATTGGAGATAAGAGTCTCATAGACTTTCTTGCCCAGGCTGGCTTTGAACTGTGGTCCTCAAATCTCAGCCTCCTGAGTAGCTAGGATTACAGGCACAAGCCTGTAACATCTTTGCTTAATTGGCTACTAAAATACTGTGAAATATTCTAATAACTGCAGTCTTACTTGATAATATAAATGAATTCTATAGTGAACTTTAGATTTTATAAATAAAATTATGTTTAGTAATGGCTGATTTCAAAAGAAGCCCATCAGGTTCTCTTTCACATTAATTTTAGTTCATGAACAGAGTGATATACTTACAACAGAATAAAGTTATACAGATTTCTTGTAATGTTTCACACTTCATAAGGTTTTGTTGTATTGACATTTCAGGATGTATCTGGCCTTAAGAACTGAACAAAGTAGTAAATTTCAAAACCCTGCAAGTAGGCCCTGATTATGGGAGAATACCACAAATGGGTTAATGTTTAACGGTGGCTGTCCTGTCCTGCTGATTCACTTAGATAGTTGGGAGATGACAATTTTATTCTTCTTTACTTGACTGACTGGCTTTATTGCACAATTAATTAAGACCTGCTTAAAAACAGCCTTCAGAACAGAGCCAGAGAAGAGAAAGCCTTTCAGATGATGGAAATGTAATGGTGAATTTATATTGTCAAGACTGCAATAACTACCTTCACCCAGGTTAGATTAATGAGTATCAGAGTACTGCTTTCTAAGGAGAGCCCTACTACAAAGAGACAACTGTGGTTTTTGAATGTCTAGCTGTTATTAAAGAACAGACTCTGTATGGTAAGTTCACATACAATTCAGTTTTTTCCTCCCTCACTCTCCCTTAATGCCTCTTTCCTTCAATTTCTCCCTCCCCTCCCCTTCTCTCCCCTCTCCTCTTTTTTCCCTTCCATCCCTTCCCCTCCTCTTTCTTCTCCCTTCCTCTTCCCTTCCTCTCTGCTAGGAGGGTCTTGAATGAAAGGCTTTGTATATGCTAGACAAACATTCTTACCATCAAACTATATCCCTAGCCTCACATTTTTTACTTAGTTAACAAGGTGCTGGGGATTGAACCCAGGGCTTCTCACATACCAAGCATTCCTTGTATATCTGAGCTAACCCCCAACCCCCGAATCATTTGATGAATCAAATTCTTGCAATGTTTGTCAGGCTGGTCCAGAACTTCTGGGTTCAAGTGATCTCTGTCTCAGCTTCCCAAGTAGCTGGGACTTAGAGGTGCATACTATAATGCCTGGATTCATCTTTTTCTTTAATGCTAATATGTACATAGAAAATGAAAAATAAAATATATGTGACCACTTTAGTAATTATTAGATGATCACTCAGGTGACCAAAACCCAGATGAAGAAAAATGACCAGTGTTCCAGAAGTCCTACCCTTACCATGTGCACTTACCAGACAGTAAGAAACCTTTTCTGAGTAGCTCCTGTCTTTATTTTTGTCATTTTCTTCCTTTAGAATGTAAACATTTGTATCCTAAAATGATATCATTTGTATCTGCCTGTATTTGAACCAAGAGGCATAGAATCCTAACATTGTCTCCTCTTTGTGTCTGGCATCTTTCACTTGGCTTTTTGTTTGTGAGATTTTACCCATGATTGTTTTTATTCAGTGCATTTACAGAAAAACAAAAACAAAGTACCTTTTCTGCTGGGTGCCAGGGGCTCACATCTGTAATCCTAGCTACTCAGGAGGCTGAGATATGAGGATCAGGGTTTGAAGCCATCCTGGGCAGGAAAGTCCATGAGTCTCTTACCTCCAATTAACCACAAAAAGCCAGAATTGGTGCTGTGGCTCACTGGATAAGAGTCTTGAACACAAAAGCTCAGACACAGCAGTGCCCCATTCTAAAGGTTAAGCCCAGGCCGCCTAGCAAAATAAATAAATAAATAAATAACACCCAAAATATTATTTACAACTTCTGTAACTTTAAACATTTTTGGGCATTTCCCTTTTGCCTTCTGGGACTCTCTAGTAAATGGAGTGTGAAGAGTAAAACTTGTCTGGATCTTTTTTTCTTTTTTCTTTCTTTTTCTTTTTTTTTCTTCTTTTTTTTTTGAGCTGATCCAAATGCCCCCTTCCCACTGCTTTGATGGTGTTTGTTTCAATGAGTCTACATCTTTAAGGCTTCTGTGGCTTGGTTAAAAATCTTCCTTTCTCCAAGGCTGGTCCAAGGGTCTGGTCACGTGATCCCCAACAGTGACATCACACCCTGACCGCCCGCCCAGGAGCACTGGTGGCTCTTTAGGTGGCGTTTGTTGCATGCAGTGCAAAGGCAGAAAATGCAGCAAGTGCCTTTCTAAAGTGCCCCAGTTGCGGGGATTCCTTCTGTAAAAGCGCCTCAACTTAAATGACCAAATGCGAGCTGCCAAGGTTATTTCTTCCTTGAGGCAGAAAGAAAACTGTGATTGAAGGTAAGCAGACTTGAGCCCGACCCAGGACTGAAGCATGCCCCCGGGAGCAAGGGATCTGGAAAATCACAAGCCGTGTGTGGTAGGATTCTAATCACTGCCTGCCTTTTGGAGGAGACTGACAATTCCGTCTCTAACAGGAGACCCACGACAAAGGAGGATGATGCAGTGCTCATGTTACCTAGTGATGTAATAGGATTCTTTCTTTCCTGTCGGACGCTGGGGCAGATCTTCCTTTGCCTTTAAGCTGGGGGGGGGGCTCATTTCATATAATAGTGTAACGCTAGATAACTATCTGATGCTTTTAAAAATTAGTTTCACAGAATGCTGTGTTTTTTCCTTTGGAAAGGAGCACTCTTAAACCAGAGCAGATTCAATGGAAGCATTAATGTGCCTTAAAGTGTCAATGTTTGGTTGTTTGGTGTCCAGTGTTTCTTATCAGCATTTGACTTGAGAATTGAAGCAGCTTGGTCTCCTCTGCTTCCCCCTGACCCCCATATTTTATTCTCTTTCTGCCCCTATTTCCTAGCTGGCTTTTCCCCTCCAAGCTCTCAAGCAGCACAACAGCTTTTATCGTTATCAGTATGACACTGACATGCTAGGAAATGCTGGGCTGGTGATTCAGCAGACATCCATTTTACAGCCAGGTACAGAGTGGAGATATGGAAAGGACTTTGGTTTGGGGTTTTAAGATTAACTTATTTACCTCCTCCCTGCCGCCTTCCTGACCCACTCCTATTCTCCAGATGGTTTAGACTCTGCTGAGCTTTTCCTTTCAAATGTGAACATTGCTTGGGAAAAGTATGCTGAATCAGGCATTAGAAGACTGTCAAATTGATAAGCCACAGACAGCTTGGTGTGTTCATTCAAACTTATCCTGTGAGAATGCTGAAGTTGTCTGGTAGGAGTTTATAGTTAAGGCAGGCATGCCGATGGGTCTCAGCTGAGACCCACTTGGGCCTTCTCTGCAGAAGGATTCATTACCAAACTGGAGGAAGCCTTGTCCCTGGCCAAGGGTGATGCTGCAAATGTGAGCTTTGGCTGGGTGAATGAAATGATGGCATTACTGTCATCCTCCCCTTCCTCCCACCCTCCTCCCCTGGGCATCTGCATGGATTCCTCAAGACTATTTTAAATTTTATGTTTAATAGCAAAATACGGTGCCATCTGATGTTGTTGCTGCAATATTTTAAATAACTTTGTGAACCAATGCTTTTACTATGTGTGAGTATAAATGCTTACTTTATATAGTTCTGCCTCATCCTGGCCATCCATCAAACACAGTTTGGTTTAACTGAGATGTCTTGACTCTCAAGGTATATGTTAATACATTGGAGAAGACAATGGTGGATCGCATATAGGGCTACTAGCAAAAAGCTTCTAGTCTAGAAAGGAAGATGATGGAGCTGGGCATGTTCTCAGTGGTAAAAGCCTAACATGTGCAAGGCCCTGGATTCTATCCCTAGCATAACAAGACAGAAAGAGAGAGGATGGGTGGAAGAAAGAAAGGAAGGAAGGAAGAGAGGAAGGAAAAGAATGCACTTAAATAATTGTAATGGAAGTACTGAAAGCCAAGCAGATAAAGGACCATGATGGATGGATAAATGGTTATGTTTTTTCTAGTTGAAAGATCAAGGAGGGACAGTTCAGTAATGAACTAAGCACCGTCCCTCTAAATCTCTGGTTATAAACCAGAAACAGTTTCTACCAGCCTATTATATCAGGGATAAAAGTGTTCTACCTATTGAAGGAAAATGTATATATTCTGTCCAGCTTAACACTTGAAGAAGCTAACTTCCTTTCTTCAGAGTTCCCAGTCAGCCTCAACATACCTCCTAAGATTGAATTACTGCCTTACAAGTAATAGATCGGCAAAGAACTTTGACCTCTTTGTCTGTCTTCTGCAATCTGGAATACCAAGTTCCTTCCTGTCTTTGTTCTATAAGTTATTTCTCATTGCCCACCAGCTCTTGTCACTTCTCACTTCGTATTGTCACTCCCATCTTTCCCTTTTCATTCACACTGTCTTTACCTACATATGGTCTGAGCCTAGACCACAGAAACTTCTGAATATGATGGAACTCCCCACTGGGTTATTAAGTTGTTTTATGAGTGCACCTCTACTGTAATCATTTGAGAGCTTAAGATGGAGCCCAGAAAGGAGGTATTAAAAAATGTTAAGAATGTCTGAAGTACTAACTTGCATCTGTTATCTGTTCAATACAGGGGACAAATCATACAATGGTGGAGGACTAGGTTCTTCAAATAGGATCATGGATTTTTTGGAGGAGCCAATCCCTGGTGTAGGAACCTATGATGATTTCAACACAATTGATTGGGTGAGAGAGAAGTCTCGAGACCGTGATAGGCACCGAGAGGTAAGACAAAAGATGATACAGAGTATAAGGAAACACCAGAGGAAGAAATTAAAGATACACATTCTTGTTTCTATTGTCAATGGAGGGTCTCATTTCTTAAATTATTTTTATTTTTAAAGGTTTCTTGAGGGCATCAAGGTAGCTCAGTGGTAGAGTGCTTGCCTTGCATGCATGAGGCCCTGGGTTCGATTCCTCAGCACCACATAAGCAAAAAGAAAAAAGCTGGAAGTGGTGCTGTGGCTCAAGTGGTAGAGTGCTAGCCTTGAGCTGAAGAGCTGAGGGACAGCACCCAGACCCAGAGTTCAGGTCCCACAACTGGACCCAAAAACAAAAAACAAAACAATAGGTTACTTTTCTATCTCTTTCTTTGTCTCTCTCTTCTGTGTAGGTTTGTTTCACTTTCTGTCTCCTCTTTCTGTCTAGATCTGTTTCTTTTTTCTCTCTCTGTCTCTCTATGTGTCTCCCTCTATCTCTGTTTAGGTCTGATTATCTCTGTCTCTCTCTGTTTCCCTCTCTTCTCTGTCTAGGTATGTTTCTCCTCCTTCTCTCTCTGTCTCTGTGTGTCTCTCTCTCTGTGTAGATCTGAATCTCTCTCTCTCTCTCTCTCTCTCTCTCACACACACACACACACACACACACACTTTCTGCCTCTTGGTGCTGAAGACCAAACCTGGATCCGCCAACACACTAGGTAAGTGTTCACCACTGAGTCGCACCCCTCAGCCCTGATTTTTCATTTTTAAGCCTTTCCCACCTCCTGATGAGTTTCCTCACAATCTCCTGAGCCATGGAGTCAGGTTGTCCCAGGTACAGGCTTTGAGAAATTCCTTCTTAATCTCTAGAAATGTGGTAAATCCAGAGTTAACTTATCATAATACAGGAGGGGTAATGTCTATATTTTTCATATGATGTCTGGAGCATACCCATATACTCTTACCAATTAATTATGTAGGCATTAGAATTGGGATTCTTGCTGGTTCTGGCATTTCTGTTTTCAGGGCTGAGTTTATCATTAGTTGCATATTCAACAGGTTATTCAAATTATGAATCCCCTGTGATATGGGCAAGGATATATTTTTCATATTACTGGTTACATCTCAGTAAAATGGTAGCAGTTAATAACTTGAAGCCAATTAAAATGTCCATGCAAACATTACTTAGTGTAAACTTTTCTGAGGGCGGGTACTGGGGTTTGAACTTAGCACCTCACATTTACTAGACAGTTGCTCTACCACTTAAGCTATAGCCTGCCTGCTACTTTTTTCCCAGAGCTGGCCTTTCCCTCCATCCTCCTGCCTCCACCTTTGAAGAGCTGGAATTACAGGCACGTATCATGCCCAGGTTGTTTTTGAGTCCAAGCTGGCCTCAAATTGCAAGCCTCTTATATCTGATTTTCATGTAGCTAGGATTACAGGTATGAGCCACCATGCCTGGTACACTAACTGTGAGAAAATCAGGAAAGAATATCACAGGGGAAAATGTAACTTTGTGTGTGTGTATGTGTGTGTGTGGTTTTTTTTTTTTTTTTTGGTCATGGGGCCCGAACTCTGGGCCTGGGCACTGTCTCTGAGCTCTTCAGCTCAAGGCTAGTGCTGTACCACTTGAGCCACAGTGCCACTTCTGGCTTTTTCTGGTTATGTGGTGTTGCGGAAGTGAACCCAGGACCTCATGCATGCAAGGCAAGCACTCTACCACTGAGCCACCTTCTTAGCCCCACTTTGTCTGTTTTGACCAATGAAATTAGAAATTTTTAAAACTTTGAGGTTTATAATTTGTTGACATTTGTGATATTGTAGATGAAAGTGTGGCTTTATCTACACTATCTTAAATATCTTAAATACTTGGCTAATCCAAGTAATAAGTAATGGTACAAATAAGGAGGAAGTACCTGTAACAAAACTGTCAGACTACTGTTTGTTAAAATGTGCAAACTGGCCAGTTGCTGGTGGCTTATGCCTGTAATCCTGGCTTTTCAGGAGGCTGAGATCTGAAGATTATGATTTTAAGTTAGGCCAGGCAGGAAAATCTGTGAGAGTTACCTCCAATTAATCACCAAAAGAAACCAGAAGTGGAGCTATGGCTCAAGTGGTAGAGCACTAGACTTGAGCAAAAGAAGCTCAGGACATTGTCAGGGGCCTAAGTTCAAGCCCCAGGACAGGCACTAAAAAAAATGTAGACACTGAAGGGTTAAATTGACAAGGCTAGGATCTAAGTGGTTAAACAGTGTACTTTCTGATACCCTTGGATACGCCTACAGATATCTGAAAATAAAAGGGATACATCACAAATATCATTTATTATCTGTGACCAATGTACAATTAAGGGGTTTGTGGGATCAAGTCTAGAATTTGCATGACCTAGACCACAGATCCAAGATAATAAACCTGGACTTCCACTTTCATCACTCAGATAAATCCAGGTTTGTTTATTCTTTACAAAGTAATCAAACTATTTGCTGTGAATCAACTGTTACTGTGATTGGGGACAAATAACAAATAAAACAGGTTGAGACTACAGAAAATTAGTGACTAAATGAAGATGTTCTAAGTAAGGTATTTTTTGGGTATTGCAGCAGTGTAGATGAACTGGCAGAGTTCAGGAGACCTTAAATTTCATGGTAAAAACTGGTTCAGCTAAAGATTTTATGACAAGTAACTCTGTTTCCTGGTGAATTTTCATTGTATTTTTTTCTTTGTTTTGGTGCCAGTCCTGGGGCTTGAACTCAGCTTTTTTGCTCAAGGCTAGCATATTACCACTAGAGTTAAAGCTCTGCTTCTGGCTTTATTTGATACTTATATGGAGACAAGAGTCTCAGCAGGGGCTAGATTTAAACTGTGACCCTCAAATGTCAGCCTCCTGAGTAGCTAGAATTACAGGCATGAACAACCAGTGTCCAGTTGTCATTGTATTTCTTTACTGAGAAATTTTGAGATGTAAGAATGGTGTGTGTAGAGTGTAACAATGTTCTCTCACTTTCTCCTAGATTACCAATAAGAGCAAAGAGTCGACATGGGCCCTAATTCACAGTGTGAGTGATGCTTTTTCCGGCTGGCTGTTGATGCTCCTTATTGGGCTTTTATCAGGTATGGGAAACTATGTTAGGATTCAATTTAACAATTCTCTAAAAATCATTGTGTGCCTTTCCCATGAGTCATTCACTAAGAAATGCCATATTTTTTCCACCTGAAATGAATTGCTGGGGAGACTTTTGGAAGTTCAGTGTCCCCATCTATAAATGGGTGATACTACCTGTATCATATCCTTTAAATAAATAAAATGCATTTAAACTCCTTTGTGTGCTATGAAATATCATGCTTGTTTTAAGGTGAAGTTAGCATTATTTTTCTAGAAGAAGAGTCCTTCTGGTGGATGGCTCCAATAGGATTTTTTGTGACAGTCCCAAGGCTTAATCTTAGGGCCTGTACTGTGTCCCTGCACTTTTTTGCTCAAGCCTAGTGCTCTATCACTTGAGCCACAACTCCACTTCTGGCTTTTGAGGGGTTAATTGGAGATAAGAGTCTCATGTACTTTCCTGCCTGGACTGGCTTAGACCCTCAATCCTCAAATCTCCACTTTCTGATTAGGTAGAATTACAGGTGTGAGCCACCAGCATCCAGAAGTTAGGCAAGCTTCTTAAGCTCTGGAGGCCTTAGTTTACTGATTCATGAAATTCAATAATGAAATACCTATCTTGAAAGTTTTGTATAAAGGTTAAATAAGATATGACACTTAACAGAGTGTCCAGTTATTAAAATTACTATTGCTGTTACCTAAGGACAATAATTTATGAGCCATGGAGTAGAAAATGACTACAGTAGACCCTGGGTATCTATAGATCAGCAGTTAAAAAGAGACACTATTGAGGAAAACCTGCACTTACTCGGGATACATAGAGCTCAGTGTTGTACTGCATATAAATGATTCATTTTTCTCATAACATATGCCACCAACATTATCAAAACTATGCTGCCTTTTGACAAATCTCAAATTTTACCATATTACTTCAGTTAAGCATACTTTTTTACCTTAGTTTTATGGGGGGTGGGGTACCATTTGCTTTTGGGAGGCAGATTTTCACAAAATTAAGGGTGGGGAAACAGCTGATTACATGATCATTTAAACACAACTGAAACTAGCACAGTACTGACTATGAGCTCCTTTGTATCCACTGAGCTCCATAATGTACACATGGTAATTTAGAAGTTTATTATTAAAAAAATAAACTGACATGTTGAATGGGAGTGCCTTTGTACAACTATTTAAGGATAATAAAACACTAAAAAAAGCCAGGTGCTGATAGCTCATGCCTATAATCCTAGTTACTCAGGGGGCTGAGATCTGATTGTTGTGATTCAAAACTAGCTTAGAAAGGAAAGTCTGTAAAACTCTTATCTCCAATTAACTGCCCCAAAAGCCAGAAGTAGAGCAGTGGCTCATGTGGGTAGAGCACTAACTTTGAGCAAAACAGCTCAGAGACAGCACCCAGGATATGAGTTAGCCTGAGGACTGACACAAGAAGAACATTTAAAAAACAATAAAAATGAAAGTTTTTTTTGAAATTTCCTTTGATTTTTAAAAATTTATTATTTTTGATCATAATCAAACTCACATGTAATAAATCTGCAAGTAAGGCAGCTTTACGGTAGAGAAAATCAGGAATGTCTCAACCATCCCTAGTTAAAAAAAAAAGTCCAGGGAAGGGTTTGGCAAACTTCTTTCTATAAAAGGAACCAGACAGCAAATATTTTAGGGTTCACGACCTATACAGCACCCATTCCATTCACCTGATATGAACAAAATCATCCATTGACCATGGGTAAACAAACAAGCCTGTCTGCCACAAGGTTGTCTTTATTGTCAAATATAGGGGATACACAAGATTTGGACCTTAGGCTATTGTTTGCCAACTGGTATCATGGAGCGCTGACCCCTCTGGCTCTTCTAGGAGCAAGAACATAGTAGGTTTGGAACTAACCTAATGGACTTGGTAGTTTATTATGCCAAATTGCGAGAGGCCAGGGAGAACAAAGATGGTAGAGAAAATGTTGAATAGTCTAGCAGTTAGGAGTATATTAACTACCTTGAAAATCCATCTCTGATCTATATTAGGAGCCAGATTTCAAGGGAAGGCAGGGAGTATAGACCTTATGGTAGTCAGAGGGAAGAGGAAGTAAAGCTTAAAGTGATATGAAATGTTACAACTGTAATCTTAGCTACCCAAGAGGCTGAAATCCGAGGATAATAATTTGAAGCCAGCCCAGGTAGGAAAGTCCTAGAAATTCTTATGGCCAATTAGCTAGCTAAAAGCAGGAAGTGGAGGTGTGGCTCAAGTGGTAGAGTGCCAGCCTTGTGAAAATCTAAGACACTATGAGTTCAAGCACTAGTACTAGCACAAAACAACAAAAAACTTGAAATGGTCACAAAGACAAGCGGTAACATTTTATTCTTTGGAGCAGGGCAAACAACAAAATTTGTAGCCAGAGATGAAAGAGCAATTGGGTAAGGTAGAAATAGAAAAGAATGCAAGACTGAAGGCAGCAAGGTTGTGTAAAGTAAGAAACACACACACGTGAAACAGAGAAAAAACTAAAATATATCAAAGAACGTGCTAATTTTCTGAATCCAGTCAGTTAAAGATCAGTAAGAGAAGGAGAAAGGCCTGGTAACTAGGAGTGGCCAAAAATCAGTATCTGGCAATGGGCTGGATTTGACCTGTGCTAATGCTTGTAATACCTACCAAAACACACAGGACATGGCCTCTCCCCTGGTTGAATATCTTCATGTTTTTAACACATTTTTGGTCACTGGGGAGTCAGTGAATATTTTTCTTTCTCTCATAGACAGAGTATTTTGTTTTTAAGTATTGGAGAGTAACAATAGGAGCAGTGTGCCTGAATGCAGGAACAGTCTGGGAATTCAGGGGCTGTGAATTTTATGAGGTCTTTACTATTTCCCTAAAGCATGATTCTGGGCCATTTAACTTTTCTGTGCTAGAGTTTGCTTTATCTGAATAACAGGAATGACTAGAAGCTAGAATAGAATCTCAAATACTTTAACTATCTTAACCCTATTAGTCTAGTAACTATGCTGTTTATGCCCCCTGTTCCTTGTGGGGCTTTTTGTTTGTTTGTTTGTGTCCTGGGGCTTGAACTCAGGGCCTGGGCACTGTTCCTGAAATTTTTGCTCAAGGCTAATGCTCTACTACTTGAGCCACAACTCTACTTCTTTTGATGGCTAAGAGGATATAACGGGCTGGACGCCAGTGGCTCACACCTGTAATCCTAGCTACTCAGGAGGCTGAGATCTGAGGATCGTGGTTCAAAGCCAGCCTGGGCAGGAAAGTCTGTGAGACTCTTATCTCCAAT